GACTGTCCTGGCCGGGTCTGGGCAACCTCCCACAGCTTCAGACAGAGCCTTGCTGGGAGTGAGGGACTGTTGCCTGGCCACCAGGGATTGGGGTCCCCCAGCCCAGAACAGCCCTAGTGCCTGTCCTGCAGCCGGGACGCAGGCCGCAGGCACCCCAGATGGAGAAATGCAGTCCCCCCAGGGCCCAGGAGCTGCCAGTAGGGAAGGCAGACCCCTCGGAGTTTGGGCGTGTGTGTGCACAAGTGCGTGTGTACCTGTGTGGGGCCACCAACATGTGTGAGGACGTGCTAGGTTCCCACACAGATCCGCCACTGACCTCCCTCAGGGTGCCCTGGAAGCCCTGCCTCCCGTCCTCCTCCTCCAGGCCTCCTGCTAAGACTGGCGGCAGGGCTGTCCCCTCCTCAGAATGCCCTGGGAAAAGGCCGAGTCCCAGAAGCTGTAGTGGGCACCTGGCCCTTCTGTGGGACCTGGGGCTTGGGTGGGTGTCTGGGCGCCCCTCTGGGCAGGGTTAAGATGCGCTGATCCTCACTGCCTGCAGGAGAGGAGTTGGGGGTCTGGAAGAGACACCCTTGGGAGCCAGGGCAGAGCGGCCTCCACCGGCCCCCGCTGGGCTGGCAAACACCCACAGGCCTTCGGACACTCCATTCCCCCAAAACGAGAATGAGGACAAAGCTCGGACACGCACAGCCACGCCCAGCTACGCTCCCTCCCAGAGGGTCACATGTCACACACCAGCACAGACGTTCCCTAAACAGGCGAACGCACTCCTCCACGAAACACGACCACAAATGTGCGGGGACATGTGGGCACGCGGGCACACCCGAACTCCTGCGGACGTGCGGTAGGCTCCAGCCAGATGTACCCAGACAGGGTATTAGGCCATTGGGAATGCTCACCTGGCGGGGCTGGTGTGGGACGCCTCTTCCATGCACACGCACACGCACGTGCTCACTCAGACGCGCCCAGACGGGGCAGCACGCACACACACGTGCTCACTCAGACGCACCGGACGGGGCAGCACACACACGCACGTGCTCACTCAGACGCGCCGGACAGGGCAGCATGCACACGCACGTGCTCAGACGCCCCGGACGGGGCAGCACACACACGCACGTGCTCACTCAGACGCACCGGACGGGGCAGCACACACATGCACACGCACACGCACGTGCTCACTCAGACGCGCCCGGATGGGACAGCACGCACACGCACGTGCTCACTCAGACGCGCCGGACGGGGCAGCACGCACACGCACATGCTCACTCAGATGCACCGGACGGGGCAGCACACACATGCACACACACACGCACGTGCTCACTCAGACGCACCCGGATGGGACAGCACGCACATGCACACGCACACGCACGTGCTCACTCAGACGTGCCCGGATGGGACAGCACGCACATGCACACGCACACGCACGTGCTCACTCAGACGCACCGGACGGGGCAGCACACACACGCACATGCTCACTCAGACGTGCCCGGACGGGACAGCACACACACACAAACACACACGCATGTGCTCACTCAGACGCGCCTGGACGGGACAGTACGCACGTGCACGTGCTCACTCAGACGCGCTCACCAGGGTCTCTCTCCGGTTCCACTGTGCCCACCGCAGTGAAAATGAGTGTTTGCACTCTGGCTCAGAGGAAGAGAAAAGGAAAAAATCGGGAGTGAGAAGGGAGGGGAAAGGTATCAGCCAGATGGGGCTCTCAGCCCCAGTCCTCGCCCCCCGCCACTTCCCCTGCTCCAGGCTTGAGTCAGATCAAAGGATGATTGACCCCCCCACCCCTGCTCTGCAGGCCCCAGCCCACCGCAGAGCCCCCAGTGGCAGGCATGGAGCACCCTACGCAGGGAAGTGGGGCCTCAGAGGAGCCGGTTCCGTCCGTGGCCCGAGGCACTTGCAGAGTTGGGTGAGACCCAGAGGCACAGCGGCCTCTCATCTGGGGTGCAGCTGTGGGCTCAGGGTGCCTGCGGAGGTGCAGGGAAGGGAGGCCTGTCGCTGAAGTGCAGGGCTGCAGACCAGGGAGGGGGAGCCCAAAGGGGACTCAGCGGGCTGTCAAGGATAATGAGCCTTCGACAGGTGCAGGGGCAGGGCAGGGCGAGCAGGAGGGCGTCCAGATGAGGGAGCGGCCTTGTGGAGGGCTCTCTGGGACAGGAAGAGGGGACTGTGGGACACACAGCAGGGGCGGGGAGCACTCCTACTGCTGCTGCTTGTCCGATTTCGGCTCTGGCTGCTCTGGGAGGCAGCAACCAGGGGGATCTTAGAGACAGGGAGACCATGGAGGGGCTGGGCGGAGTTACGGAGGAAGGTGATGGGGGCTGCAGTAGGTGGTTGCCATGGGGATGAGGGGAAGACAGAGAGGAGGCCACAGCAGTGGCGCGTGGCGAAGTAAGGCTCTGCAATGCTGCAGCCAGTGGGCAAGTCCCCGGTTCGCGTCCCGAGGTCTCCCTGTGTGCCCATGGCCCGGGCTGGCTGAGGCTGGGGGTGGTTTATGGCTGAAGACCCTGCAGGAGGGTCTATCACAAGAAACGAAGTGGATAGGGAGGAGAAGGGGAGAAGGGAGAGACTGACTGGGTGTGGGGGTGAGGTGAGGACAGGCTGGGGGCTTGCTCTGGTGGTGTGGCCTGTCCCAGAGGAGGCAACGCAGGGGAGATGCGGGGAGACAATCTGGCCATGAGGGTCTGAGAAGCTGAGAAGCTGAGCTGTGTGCGCTTGTGGCCGTGGTTGGGGGCCGTGTCCAGGAGGCCAGGGTGGTCGCGTGAGGCCGTGTGCACATGTGTGCTCAGACAGCAGCCATGGAGCCACACTCCCAGAACGGAGATTCCAGCCCCGCTCTCCCCATGGGTGTTTCCAGGGTGGGTGGGTGTGGGTGCTGGTCACGAATGAAGCAGTGCGCACCGTGTGGAGAAGGGCAGGCCTTGGGTGTCGGCGTCTCTGTGCCCCCGTCCCCGCCGGTAAGATGAGAACCCTGATGCCTGTCTCCCTGCTGTTTGCCTGCCCGGAGGTGAGGAGTGAGGAGTGGTCGCTGGCCGCACACATGAGGGGGCACAGACCTGGAACTTCCACCCAGACCAGGGTCCATGCTTCCTGTCTGGTTGGAGTCTAGAAATGGACAGGAGAGGGGACCAGCGGATGGTATAATGGCTATGTCGCCGGACTACCTCATAGTCGACTGTGGTTCAAGTCCTGGACCTGGCGGCTTAAAACTCACACCAGATGCATGTGCATGCCCAAGATCCCGAGAGGAGAATGGAGGAGAAGGGATTGCAGGGTGGCCATCCCCCCCCTAGGAGGGGTGATTTCTCGCAATCTGAGCCTCTGTCTCTCCAGCCAGCGCACGCGCCCTGCAAGTGCACACGCCCTATAGCAAAAACAAACAAACAAACAAGAAACATGGACTGGGAGAACCTGGCTCTGCTTCCATTCAGATCCTTGCAAGTGTTTTGCTTTGTTTTGTTTTGCCGGAGGGCACACATACTCACCAGAGAGAGAGACACAGAGAAAGGGAGGGAGAAAGCACCCCAGTGGGGCATAGCCATGCTGCGACCCTCTCTATTTCTCCACCCTGTTGGGATTTTGGGCACGCACACCTGGTGTGTGTGTGTGTGTGTGTGTGTATTTAAATAATTGTTTGATTTTATTTATTATTATTTTTTAATTTGACCAGAGAGAGAGAGGGACAGTGAGAAAGCAAGCCACCAGATCTGACACCCGCCGTGTTTTTCAGCCCTCAGGGCCAGGACTGGAACCGCTGGTCATGTGGGTCTGGTTCCTTAACCACCAGGCCATGGGCTGACCCAAGATTCTCAGGAGTTGGAGTTGATAGATCATGGCCCCCACGCAGCCCAGTCGGTGGGGCTCCCTTGCGCTTGGAGGACAGAAGTGGGGGCTCACGTGTGGGGGTGGGGGTGGCGGAGGGCCAGGACCTCCTGGAGAGCACCGGGCCAGCACTCTGGCTCATCTTATGGCTGGGACCGGGGGGACGCGAGAGCTCATGCCCCTTCCTGGAGGCGGCTGGCGCCCCCGGCGAGCCCCGCCGCGAC